TGAGTTTAGGTCAACTGGACAGAGAATATGAGAGGTACTTCATACAATATAAAGGACAAAAGAATGGAAACAATCAACAGAGAGCACATTCCAGGTATACAGAACTACCAAGAAAGCAGCACAGAGGTAATCAAAAGCCAAGCTGGAAAGCACAGCTGAACAGAGTAGCAGGGAAGCAGAGCTGTTCTCAGAGATCATTTCAGTGCTAGAAACAAGCAGTAGATACAGAATGAGCAAGCATATACATAGGAACCTATCTCATAAATGTCTGTGCTGATCTTACTAACAAATATCTTGATATTAGAAGCAGATAAATAATAATTCTTCCAGTCTTAGCATGAGAAAGTCGTTTGCACATCATCTAAGAATAATGCCATCAGTGCCTTGACATTATTTGCCTCTATTTCTTTCCATCACATACCAGAATCTGTTACTTAATATCTGGTCAATTTTATGACATATACAAAAGCTGATTGACATCTGCTCTAGGTGAGACATTGCTGACAACCAGATGCTAACTGCAGAAAAATGGAAGGAGAGCTACTGGGGATGGAGATAAACTCAAGTCATTCAATCTTTTAACTAAGACAGATAGGCATCTATAAAGTTTCATAAATAATTGATAATGAAGAGCGTAAGTAACCGGACAGATGCTTGGTGTTTTCAAATTTCCTGGATGTATTGACAGTTCTTGTTTACACACGATAAGTCTGGAAATTACAGTTTTTGCTACAGATACCTTTGACTTGGATATTTTTAGCATTACAATAAAATCCTCATTCAAACAAGTCTCTTACAATGCTTGCTAAAAACAGATGAAGCTGAGCAATTGTTTACTCCTTCCAGAAGGTGCTAAGGCCTCCATACATAACACCTGGAGTGTTAGTGTCACTACAGTACACTACAGTATCACAGCAGAGAGATAAAAAGTGGCAAGGACACTATAATCACTCAGTACCAAAAAAACCTGACCATAGACAACAATGCACCCATGGTACTGTATCCAGGATACGTGGACAAAAATGCCAAGAAGGAAGAGGATGTTGGACTAGATGACCTCTACCTGTCCCTTCCAATTTATTTGATTCTGTGATTTAGAAAAGCTCAGAGATCCCATTAAAAGTTAAGGATTTTTTATCCACATAAGCCAGTTATTTCATTAGAGACAAGCTTTAAGAATGCTGGTGTCACAAAATTTCTTTACAAACAAAAGACTTTAGTCTTCCCAGAATTAAGAGCACTGAACATATGAAGATTTTATTTTCAGTATTCCTTAAGAGAACATCTAAAATTTAGCAAGAGAAGCTATTATTCTGTCATCAAGCACACCTTTATCATCACGAAAGCAGATAATTCCTTCAGACTTCATTAACTTTATTCAAAAAGAAAGGATCTGTCAGAAAGAAAAAGTTGACTGAAGAAATGTTCATTCTTTCTACAGATTTTTCACAGATTCACTAGGTCATCTGTGACCTGATCGGATGTACAGATAGCATCATGGGAGAAGACAGACAACAACTGCCTCTATAGTACAAGGCCTCAAGAAGCATTTAGAGAACAATTTCCAGAAGCAGTTCTCTAAGCACTTTCTTCCACCTGTGGCTGCTCAATACATTATTGAGGTGACACACGAAAACACAAAAAATACATTTAGATGATACAACATGAATAATCTAGTATTATAGAACTTATAAGTTGACATGATTGTGTACTTTTCTATCCAACAGATCACTCAAAACATACCTTAACTCATTAACAAGTGCAGACTAATAAAACTGATCCCAGGCAGGTGACTATATAGGTGAGCCTGGTATGAAACTAGTTTAAATATAACAGCAATCCTGATTTTTACACAAATCCTTTCATCAGTTTCTATCCCAAAGCAGAGTGACCACTACATAGGCATTTAATGAATTATCAGTATAGGCCCTTTGAGTTTTTGCAGCTTTTTAGGATTTAAAGCCAGAATTTCAAGAAGTTCCAAAAATCTCATCTTATAGAGTTAAGTATGAAACTGATACCAAAGTTCTCCATTTGCTGCATATTTCTGAGTTGGCTACAGGAAGAAGATACTGTGGAAGAATGAACAATGGTATGACAGGGCTCCAGGCATACAAGACAACATAGAATACGCTTTTGGCATTCAGTAAGAAAAACATCCCTCCTGAATCCTTCTGAATGACCTAATTATGCCAGAAGATAAGGTGTTTCCAACTGGTGTGGAGGAGTGTCCTCCTTTGTTTATTCTCTTGTATATCCACAATTCTTTAGGATTTTTTTCTCCTCTAGAATAGTATCTAATATTGATTGACAAGATCATTATGTGGTTAATGGTCTGTAAAGGAATCAAGTTATTACATCTCAATTAAAATGCTTCAGTTTAAGAACTGCTCTGGTATTGCCAAGCAAAGTATTTATTCCAGGATGTCAGCACTATTTCTAAGGTCTGAGGTTCTTCTTCTCCGAACTAGTAACATACAAATTTTGTGGTATGCAACAGTACACCAGTACACCATGGCTTCCAAACACAGGATAATTTCTTTTATTCTGCTTTTCCTGCCTAGTGCATACAGTTGTTCTTAAAACACAAAGTACAATACAAGCCAATATAAATATTGTACTAAGAACTAACAGATTAAGAATGCTGTTAGCACCAGCAAACGTGAAGCTCTCTGAATATACATATAAATCACCCTTTCAGAGATTCATTCCATATTCAACTTCTTTAGAAACTAAAAGAAGATCACATTAACCTGTTTATTATGCTTCACATTTTGAACAATTTTGTTTTGGTCTGAACTTGAAAGGCTTTTCTGAATTGTTCCTATTTGGAAAATGTACCTGTGAAAGAGCCTGCTAAATGTCAAAATGGAATAACTACATATTATGTATTATATAATTGCATAGCAATTATTTTGTTAGTCTAATCTATTAAGTAATTCTGTTACCTGTGCATGTTTAAAAATCATAAATATTTCAAGTGACTTTTTATTAACTGATTACAGATATCCTTCTTTAAGATCATACCTGTTTAAACAAACTGATAAGAACATTCATATGAACAGTACTTAAAAGTCACTAACTACTACCTTAGATAGTTTCTTTTAAATACACATCTTGATGACAACGGGACTGGAATAGCAGTATCCTCAAGAATGCTAAACAAGAAGGTTGTTTTCAATGCAGAAAAATGTGCAATGAATTCCTCATTTGCTCTTAAATATTGATATAAAGTTGTGGTAATGCAGCACTCTTAAAAAACAGTGTTTAGGGTCACGACCCGAAAAGTAGTTCAAAAATTCGCATGGCAGAGCTTGGTTTTGTTTGTATGTTTTTTCTGTTCTTAGAATGCCTTCATGTAGCAAAAAGTTCCCTGCTAGCCTAATTTAATGCTTTCATTTTTCTAATTATGCTGAAACACCAGTTAAGAGCCTACCTGATGTTTTGGAGAATTTGCTGTGCTGGGATTGATATTCCGCAATGCCTAAGAGTAAAAATAAGATGGATAAAAATTACTTTAGCTGCATGGTTTACCTATGCAGGCTGTCTTACAAACACCATCTTGTAGTATCAAGCCCCCAAGACAGGCCAGATGAGACAGGATAAGGGAGTTAAGAAACTATAAAAATCATGACACAGTGAAACAAAACTCGCAGATTTACCAAGGATGAGTATTTGACAGATAAGCTTAACGACTAGAGAGAACAACATGAAGAAAACTAGCTGTCACCTGGTCCAAAGTTAGTCAGGTTCTCAATGACAACTGAGGCAAGAAGACAATTAGAAGGCCTACCTAGAAGCATGCTAGCACAGGGTAAAATGTTTGTTGGTGGATTAATTGCAAAGCAGGAACAGCAGAAGCCCAAGTGCTTAAGCAGAGAGAAAGTCCTGATACCACCTTTGCAATGTATTCTTACCTAGAGTACTATAAAAAGTAACGGCTGTAAAGATGACCCATCTTACACCAAGAGATGCTGAAGATTCCTACAAAACAGGCCTTGACTACAAAGGGGATAACGGGAGTCAGAATCCAGGACAGAATACTGCAGGTGATGAAGAAAGAGAAAAGCTGTCTTTGAGGATATTAAGATATTATCCTCTTCTGATACAAGGCCCATCACCCAAAGTGAAAAGGATAAGACTTTAGAAGGTTTTCCTCAAAGAAAAGATTAGTGCTTTCTCTGGCAGTGTCAAAACCCCAAAGAATACCCTAAGTATCTAGCACAGATGGTAGCAACTCTTAAAACATTCAGATGGAAAAATCGAAGCAGAAGGCTTAGAGTCAAAAGGAGGTCAAGACCGAATTCAACATCCAGAGACTGCAAAGTCTAGTCCTACACTTTAACATCTGCTACAGCTATATTCATATAGTAGAAAAATACTGAAAAGAATAGCTTGTAGCCTAATTATGAAGTTTGAAGTTCTTCAGCATAAGAAAACCATGGGTTCAAAATGCAGCAGTGATTCAGTTGTTCCATGCTCACTCCACTGTTGAACAGGCAAGATTTTGGCAACAAGGTGTCCCCCTTAATGAATCTTATATGAACTTTAAAAATACTTCAAAATATTGCAGACTACAACAGGTTCTAAAACTGAAGACTTTCTTCCACTTAAAAGGGAAAACCAAAGCAGCTGTGGGAACCAACTTTTTGCCTTTTACATGACTTGGAACTCAATGAATATGAAATATATCCTCAAGAGGAATATCCAATCACACCAACAGTCCATGTTGTCATCCTTTTTGGTTTATGAAACCTGTTCTCAGAGAATTCTTTTAGAGAGAGGAACAAGGAAGGAAAGCAAAATCCTTCAGTCTGATAAGTCAGATATTTTCACTACCAAGCTGATATAAGTAAGAGCATGAATTCAGACCTTTCTAGATCTCAAAGCTTTTTGTACAGTCACAGGTCTTTAAGACTCACTGAAACAACAACTTAGGCAAATCAAAACATTACATACAAAAGAAATAGTGGAAGTAGGTGTCTAACCTGTGGCCTCACCTGCCGAAGCAGTTCTTGATGCTTCAGTCTCAGCCTTTCTTTCTCCATCTGTAGCTGCTGAAGTCTCATCTGTTGCTGCTGATTGGAGCTACTCCCACCCATCACACCACCCTGAGGACTCTGAGGAGCCAGAGGAGGTGGCTGTTTCACTGGAGCACTTTGGCTGATTCGCTGATTCATGGCTAAGGAACCAAAACAATAAACATTTAAAATGAAACTCAAACAAATACATGCAAGGAAAGTATTATCCATAAAAGGCATATAATAAAAAATTTATATGACAAGCCATGACAGTGCAAAACATGCAGTTACACTGATGTTCAAAGTGTGAAATGTATGCTCACGTGTGAGCAATCAACGTGTGTAAAATTAACATAATAGTCTCCTGTTTAAGAATGCATACTTGTTCGAAAAGCTTCTGAGAACAGTTAAATATATAAGCTGGTGAAAAATTCAAAAGTGGTAGTAAAATATTTCAAGTCGAATTACAAGGATCTCTCTTCTTTCTAATAAACTATTCTCACTTTAGACACAAATAGTATAAAATAATTTTTTATTCATGTGAAATCTTAGAATCATTAAACTCAAGAACACAGAGAATGACAATGGGTCATCCTACTTATACTGAACTACATCTAGTTAAAGGTTAATTTAAGTGGAAGTTAAATTCTTCCCACTGCAGTGCAGGTCATGCAACAAGCATTCACATCCATGTCACATCAAGCTTTTAGTGTTACAGACTCTATTTAGAGCTTCTTGACAGGCAAAATTAGAGCTGGTATACAGAAATGGCAGATGAATTATATAGCCATAACTACTGACATCAACATAGGAAAGATTTTGCTTCATTTTCTTTTACCCCACAGCAGTATGCAATGCATCTTTTCTCGGGAGCGGAGAAGAAAAAGTGTCACTTCCTATGCCTAATGGACAATGAGAACCCATCTTCCCCCCATAAAATCAAGGTCTAAGACAATTTTATTTTATAAAATAATGCATGACGGGGATGCATCTACCTGACAGGCCAGATTTCTTCCTCATATGATACCAGTATGGTTAAAGTCAACAGAGGGACTGGAGTTTCCATACCGAAACACAGGGCTGGGAAAGGCTGACTGTATTGCAAGGACAACATTTTCAAGGGCTTTCAGTTTTGGAATTAACTCTCCATTGTGTTTTCTGTAATAGCCTGAATCTGTTAACATTCACAAAATGCTACAGAATAAAGCAGTGATAGGAGAATGGTAGAGGTTTATATTTTTTCCTGGGAATGAGGATTATAGTTTATAGAAACATAGAAAAAAAAAGGAGAGAGCTTCTTTCAGGATGACAGGGTGATTTGGGGCAAAGAAAACCATCTGTTGAATTAGTTTGATTTAATGTTCTCATCATATAGAGGATTTCTGGAACACTAGCACTTATAAATGCCATAAGAAAGGAGAACTATCTCATAAAGAATTGGTATCAACTTTTCACTGAAAAGCCCTTCAGTCTCAACTGTCCATAAGCCTTGCTCCCTTTTTCCCTTGCCACAGCTCACCTTTCCATTGGGAGGTAATATATGAAGAACAAATGCCATATACTAATTGGAGTGATAACAGAAAGTCAAAAAAAAAAAGACTAAGCCAGTTACAGACTCAACTCTTCAGTCCAACTTTCAACTAATCCACTGGTCTAGCACAGAGTCAACAGTCTAATGGGCAGATGGGGCACATTTTCATGAGTCACGTCAAAATTAAATGGTGTCAAATAGCTTGAAGTAATTTGAAATAATATTTTATGCAGTTACTAGTGAGAGAGCTTCATACATATGATCACTAATAAGATAAAACTTCCTGTAAAGGTAAGCGAACCAGTGAAGTAGGAACAGAAACTGAATTCCAATGCCAAGCAGAAACAACAAAAAGAATACCAAGGGCCAGAGGTTCAACTCCAACCCACAAGTCCCATCCTTATCCAGCATGGACGAGACACCCAGCATCACTTCCCCATCAGAACTGAACTTTAGGAAGAAGTTGACCAGAATCAGCTAATTAACCAGATTTCCTATACAAGCTGTGGTCTCTAAGGGAGCAACAGGAAGACTGGCCCCAAGACACCAGAAAATGTTAAGCAGAAGTTCAAACAGCTTCAACAGCTGTCCTGTAAGGATGTGGGCAGCGAACTTTTAATTACATGCTCCAGGATCTCCACTGGGCTGGAAGACTGACAGCAATTAGACTACCTACAGTTACCAAATCAGGGCAAAGTTGAAGCTAGAGAAAGCAATGCAAAAAGAAATGCAGCCCATCTAGCAGTTCTAGACACGCTAGACATGCCATTGCTGGAATGGGGAACATATGTCCTTCTTTCTCTCTTTTCAAGTCTGGAACCAGGACCATGCCTTTTGCTTTATATATCTTACCCTCTTTCAACTTAAAAGCAGTAATGAAGGAGTTAGTAGGGAACAACAGAAAACAACAGCCTTCTCCTGCTGTTAGTTAATTCTGCAACTCCATCTGAAGTCTGTGCTACCCTTCAGAAGTTCCAGGATTCAAACCCTGTTATTAAACAAGATGGAAGGTCAGTTACAGCAGAAAGCCAAGAGGGAAGAAAGTTTGAAAATTACAATCACCGGAAAGAAGCATATCTAAGTTAAAAGCAGACTACCTACTTTGTAAAAAGTAAGTAACCAAAGCTGAAAAATGTCAATTTCTTTTGGTTAAAAAGGCTGCCTTTATGGTTTAGTCCACAAAGATATAATCATATCTTGGTTTTGGAGGTTTTGGAGTCCTGCCTCAATATAGTTCACAGCCAAGGCATATTACAGATAACCTCATAAAAATTTAAGCGCCTAACCTTAAACACTTAAGTGCAGTATCAGTAACATTCCTTCAATATGTTATGATTTTGTTTTTCCTGAATGCACTATACAAGTATTATTTCCCTAGGTCTCTTTTCCACAAATAGGTAGTTTTGTAAATAATTTCCTGCTCATACCAAATGCTTCATATTTTACATAAGTGTATCTTTCTGACAGCTGCATGTATTATTCCTGTTCTCTCTGACCACTATTTGCTCCATTCTTCTCATCTACTGACTTCACAACAAAACTATAAGAAAGAAATCATGTTTCTCTGATATTTTTCGTTTTAATCCCTCATCCTAGATCCCCAAAATGCCTTCTAATGTCTATTTTTAAAGTAATTTTGTAACTGAAAGCGTATCTAAAACTGGAATATCATAAGATACTGAGACTTTGGTGTGTACTTAATATTCATCAATAAATATTAGAGGAAAACTTAATGAGATGACTTGGCAACTCTTCGGAAACTGAACCTAAAACTCCAGTTTCTAAATTATTATTGATCAGGTCTCCATTAAAAGGATGTTTCTGAACATTTTATTATTTCAAGAATGAAAATGCAAAAGACTTCAAACTGATAAAACTTTAAACTGTCCTCAGAACAGATCATGGAGATGTTTTTTATATGAGTGAACTATTTTTAACCCCGAATATAAACTAAAAGTCAGGATATTAAAAGAAGATGCAGCTAACTGAATTTCATTGATTTAACATATCCAAGTGAAGAACCAGTGACCAAAAACCCAGCAGTAATAACACTCAGTGATTTTCAGCCACCTTGGTGATAAGAAGAATGTAATTTTTATCATTTCCAATACAATACTTAATTAAAAGAGAGGAAACATATCTTGTTTCAATGGCAGTGAAAAAAGAGGGGTTTAAAGCTTTTTGTTGTTGTTGTTTTGGAGTTGGTTTTTTGTTTGTTTATTTGTTTGTTTTGTGGGTGGTTTTGTTTTTTTTTTTACATTCTCAATTCTCCATTACTTACCACGGATGCAACTGCAGAGATCTGCACTCTAAAGAACATGCTTATCAATGTGATCTCAGATAAGGACATTTTATTTTTTCCACATCTCATGGGTCTGTGATGATACTGACATGCACAGCTCTTTTTAAGTACTTTGAATTCAAAGGTAAAGAGCTTCATTTTATCTATTAGCTAGGACTTACCAGTTTTCTAATGCATCCTGTTCCTTATGTTCCATGGCTATGGAAAGCATTTAAATAAGGGGCTCTGCACCCACACAGCGGAGGCTGCAAAGACCTCACAGGCAGAGCAGGAACAAACAAGTCTTTCTTTCTAGAAGAGGGGGATTTGAGGGAGGAGGGGCAGACAAGTTAAAAAACACAGGCAACTTATGACAATAAAAAAGATCTTGTAGTCCTATAATATGGCTTAGCTTCACAATCTGCAGGATATAGTCCATTGTAAGTGCTGCAATATGCTTTCAAGAATAGAAAATGAGTGGTCTTCAAATGCTGCACATTAAATGTTCTTCTACTGTCCAAACTCAACAGCAAAAATGCCTCTTCTGTACTGCAGCAGATAATACCTGACAGTTATTGAAAACAAGTTTAGACTGCTGTCTAAATGATAAAGACTACATGAAAAATAAAAAAGAAACAAACAAACAAAACCCAAAAACCAAAACCAAGAGGGAGAAACTATTACCAGACATTGCTGCTAGAGAAAAAAGGCCAGCAGCTTGTTAACAACTGAAACATAAAAGGCTAATTCTCTCTCAAGATCCTACGTCAACTGAAAATCGCAAGTCCCAGGGCTGTGACAGCTTGCAGTAACACTTTCTCTGCCCTATGGAGAATCCCATGCAGAGATTGCACCCTTAATGATTAATAGGCACAGTTGAATGTTTGATTTTTTTAAATTTCGTTATAATTTCACCCTTCAAAGCTAAACCTAATTTTAATCTGCAAAATTAAAGACATTGTTTAGTTGAACAAACAACAACAAAAAAGTTCAGAATTTGAGCATACTATAACTGGCTCTCCTTAGTATTAAGAATCAATGTTTTCACTGGGGGAACTAAAAAAGAGAACTCGTCCACTTCAGTTTCATTTAGGAACCAGATACCATTTTTGTCATTGTACATAATTTTTGGCTATGGTCAGGGTTTTACATGGTGTTAGTTTGCAACTACAACAAAGGCAAAAAATTCTCTTTGATTACATTTAAAAGAGCTGTGAAGAAAAAAAATTACCAGCAGGATTTGAAAGAGTGAGCCTCAGAAGTAATAAAAACATGTTCCAAGTGACTTTTTAAGAGAGGCTTGGTACAAAAATTTGTTATTTAATCAAGATATAAGTAATGTTTCTGGA